GACCGCCAGGGTTGAACAAAATCGGGCCGCCGTAACGCGGATCAGTGACAGGAACCTGTGCTGGAACCCGGACTATGGCAACCGAGACAGTGTCTTCGCCCGTGGTGCTGTTCCAATCCATGGGCACTTGCAAACGAGCGCACTGCAGTCCATTGAAGCAATCAACATATGACAGCGAGGTGGAAGGCAAGATCTAAGGAATCCAGTTAGTTTTCTGGCGGCAAGACGCTGGAAGATGGATGACAAGATGAGGATCTAGAGATGTCTGGTGTGTTTCATAAAACAATGGTCGCTCCCACATCTCCGAGTTCTGGATTTCAGGGAATGTACACACATTGGTCCAGTTAAAACTTGGGGCAACATCTCGAGAATGTGCCCGCGTTCTTTGGGGGGTTGGTGAACCGACTTGAAGCAAGCAAGTCAATGCCCATGCGGTTGCAAGGCGACACCGAAGCATGGTTTCCAGAGCTCCGAAATCGATTTGGTTGTTCAAGTACGCTGAGAGAGAGAGGATTTTGTGGTAGCAATGTTGCCATGGAATCAACTCATCGGGTCTCACGCTTGTATTTAAACACCTTGGATCAGCCCAGAAGTAGATCACCGCTTGAAGCAGCAACTACAAAATCTAGGCTCGGACTCGCGGCTGCGGGGGCAATCCGGAGCCGACGGGGTTGCTACTCATAATCAACATGGGCAAACAACACCGCCTCATAGTTCTGCGTGTCAAATTACGACGCTCTCGGTTAGCTCATGCCAACAGCCCTTCCAATGGGGCGGCCACGCGTCGAGAAAACAAGGTTGTACAAATTGATGCCTATGTCGGGCGTGGCTTTGCAATGATGGGGAACTCGAGTTCAACACACAACCCTAACCCTCGAGCAACGCCGTGAGCCTCCCAGTCCAGCATGTCTGCGAATCAACTACATACATGTACCGACTCATATCGGCCTGGCACACAAACTCAATACATACCTCCCTGAGTGGGCCGATCTGCGGGGGCTTGTTTATTTCCTAGCCCTATCTGACTCGTCTGACTCGTCATGTCAGGCAATTGGGACGGGAGCCGCGGATCACCGTGCACACCAGAACTCAACTGATGTCATTTCTTGGGAAGGCTTCCGGTTGCCCCAAAGCTTCCCATGGTCAAGTTGGTGGATGGGAGCTCAGGAGGCGGGAGCGTAACTACAATTCGCACCAGGAGATGAAGTCGTATTCCAGACGTGACTCATGTCCAGTATGTGGTCAAGCAATTAAACCAAGGCAACCCAAATATCGAAGTAATCGTGGGTCTTGTTGTAGGTGTTACCCTACAGCTGCTACTATCGGCATTCTTTCCGGTGTCTAACGGTTGATGATGGCCAAGATTGGACAAGGCGCTGCAAAGGCGGTTTCGTATCATTTTTGTGTCATGCTCCGAAATACCGGGTCATTATTCAATCAGAGTTCACAATGTGAAAAATAAAGTCCTCACTGGATCTCGCTTTTGTGAACGGCGCGGATCACGCTGAGCTCACAACCTCTACCCTGGGACAGCTGTCGGTTAGACTATCCAGTAACCTTCATGCGGTCTGAAGAAAGCTATGAGGTGCTCCTCGTTTAAGCTTCTGCAATCGTTGATGGAGGAGGCAATAACATGGGCGGAAAGGGCCTTGTGAGTAGATCATTGGTCCAGCGACGTGTTGATCGACAACACCGTCCACAAAACAGATTCACTCTATTGGCTTGTTCAGAGGTTCATTCAAGCCAAAATGCAACTCTAACTGGAGTAAATGGGATGCAACAGCGGGGTATCTGGAACCAGATTACCATGGGGCGTCATGCTCAGCATATCTATTGTCGTGAAATGCGTGTTGCGATACACGATTAGGTTTAGAAACCATGAGCACCTGGACTGCCAGCGGACTACAAGACTTAATTAAACTTTGGTCACAGTAGGGCCGACAGAAAACATCCCGGCTTGGTGAATTTTCGTCGCGATCATGAGAGAAGGCAAGCTCTGAGGAAGTAAGTCGCAGGCGGCATTCATGGTCGGGCAATACTAGAAACCCTTCTCGCGGTAAGAAGATAAGGTCATCTCAGAGGTGCAATGCCCAGAATACCCGCCTGTCCTCCTCTCTCTGAATAGAATCATACCTTGAAGGTTTTGCGTGTAGTGCCACGCGAAGAGCCATTCCTACTTTAACATATGCCGTGGATTCCCTCGCCAACTGACTTTGTGGGCGCGTGTTTGCCCAAGGTCTGAATGCTGACCACTTACCAGTGAGCTCAATAGATGGAACTGGAATAATGGTATGACTGAGGCCAATGGCTTGCTGATCATCAACATCTCCATCCCGTAGAAATATTATCCTGTCCCATGCACGCCTCACATAAGTCATTACCTTTTTATAAGCCTCAAACTTTCTTGAATACATTTCGCTACATAATGACATAGTGTAAATACCTTGCTATGAATGGCATGACTTCTGTACGGATGTTGGCTCGACCACGGCTCTAAATCCTGACGGGTTTAGAAGCAACGAGTACGGCCCCCCGCGCTCTAAACCGAATAAGGCTACATATACACATGTAGCTTGCATCAGTTGTTACAGTGATTGGTTGTGATCTGACTCGTCCCCTTTGGCTGCATGCCGCGGTTGTGCTATTAGTTGAATTGACTTGTAAGGTGCGGGGTCCCATCTCGCGGATATTTGAAGCACGCAGGTAGTTTATAAACATGTCAAGTTATTCCATGTAGCTTATCACAGATCATGCCTTATTTCGACGCTGGCGCCTTGACCGGAGATGGCTTAAACCCGGCACAATATATCCGATCGGCTGTTTCGCCAGGTCCACAACACGCACAGCATCGAATAGACCACGATATACAGCTGGCTTAGATGAACCGTTATTCTACATAGTTGGAGTCATGTCTGCCGTTATTTTGACTTTGGCTCCTACACTATGCACCCTCTTTACTGCGGCGGCTTTGTCTTTTTTAGGAGACACGATATATCGACTTTTCTCATTACAGGCAACTTATACAAGTTTAATATAAAGCTACTAATAACCTTTTTATAAAGCAAGCAGTAGCGAGAATAGAGATTACACTTGCAGGTAAGGGACTTAATATTCTTACTAATAATATCAGGCAGCGCAATATCTCTGAATAATAATAGCTTATACACGTCTAAAAACGCAATAATTGTATCGGCATCAGCCCGTGACACATCTCGTGTAGACTGGACCAACAGATAGTATACGGTCAATCGGGAGTAGTAAAAGTCATGCCTGTATAAGCCTTGACTTGGTTGGTGCAAGTGCCAATAAAATGCGGCACAAGTAGGCACAGGCCCACTCGGTGCCATCTCACCTTAACTGCCTCTTCTGGTAATAGAATCTCGGCAACGGCTTCAAGCGAATTTTGCTATTCGTGCGGCTATAATAGCGCGCCCTTCTTACAGCATGCGCCATCGGAAATAGTACCAGGGTCTACGGCATATGCCGGTTTATGCCGTTGAGTGACTGGATTGTCCCGCTCCGGGCTGTATAGAGTAATCATTGTTCAAGCCGGTGGTCTGCCCCTCTTGACTCATTGTTACCGCCATCGGAGGTAAAGTAGAGCTGTATTACCAACCACCTTGCATATATATTGAGGTAGTCCCTATTAGCAAGAAGCTCAATTTTGCTACGCTTTTGGATTGTTCCCGCAGGTTTCCATATTTTTTAATTTTGGTCTCCATTACTGCTACCCTTTGTCTTGCATTTTGTTGCCCTAGTTCTCCCTCTAAATCATGGACGTTGCTGTGTTCGAATACAACGCCAATTTAAAGGCAGATGAAATAGTCGCGTCCCTTGTCCAAAATGGAGGATGTATTATTCGCAACATGATTTCTGACCGGCGCATTCTTAATACCATAGAGAGGGACGTTCGCCCTTATATTGAAGCAGATCGACCGTGGGTCGGAGTCGACTTCTTTCCACCTGAAACGCGCCGCGTCATGGGCCTGGTTGGTAAATCACAAGCCTTTACACAAAATATCCCTGCAAATCAATTGTATCGGGACGTTTGTTCACGCTTGCTTTCGTCCACGCACAAAGCATGGCTGGGCTACCAGCTTAACACGACCGTGTCTGAGCCACAACTCAGCAACACAATTGTTTTTTCCATAGGTCCTGGGGCGGCCCGTCAGGAGCTTCATCGGGATGATTCAATCCATCACAACTCCCTACCGGAATTGAAGCATCACAACGACTATCGAATTGGGCGAGACACCAGTGTTGGGCTATTTGTTGCAGGAAAGAAGACAACCAAAGCCAACGGCGCAACGAGGTTTATACCTGGCTCCCATCTCTGGGGTGAGGATAGATGTCCGAGCGAGGAGCTTGCTTACTATGCCGAGCTTGAGCCAGGAGACGCTTTTCTAATGTTGGCGTCATGTTACCACGGCGGGAGTGCAAATACAACAAACAACGAAGAAAGGCTAGTGTATAGCTGTTTTATGACCAAGGGCTTTTTGCGTCAGGTTTGGCAAGCTGATCCCAAGACGTTACAAGTCAAATCTCTAACGCTGCTACAGGAGGAGAACCAGTACTTGGCAAACACCATCGGACAAGTACAACAGTATTCGCCTGACATCCAAAAGCTCATTGGGTATTCCGTTAGCAAGCCGTTTCTTGGATGGGTTAACCTTGAAGACCCTATCAAGTTGTTGCACCACGGTTCCGAAATTATAGGTGACGAGATGCGTTGAAGCTCGACCTAGTACATGTAACGCGTGAAATTAACTGCGAATAAAATTATATCAAAACAATACAACACAACGCAAAACTTGTCTATGATTTAATACACGATTTAATATTTAATACACGCTAGGAGTACTTGAAAAATTATTAAATATATACAGGGAAATATTTCACTAGTTTTTATCTGTATAACCACAAGCTATAATTCAAATTCAACGCCGCTTCAATCCTCAAATAGTGTACCCCACCAATCTTCTAACCTAATATTCCGGGGACTACTCCTCTGATAACCGCCCATGGCGATCCCGTAATACCTGCAACGAGCAATCTAAGTTGCCCAATTCTTCTGTAATTTTACACAGACGATCTATTAAACCCTTTGCCATCTCCTTGGTCAGGATATGAGTATTGCCAAAGAGTTTAACATCAAGGTGGCGCCCTCTAGGGTACGACACTACAAACAAGGACGGCGGCACCAGATGCGAGTTCTCAAAGAACTGCACTTGAGATGCGGCTCCTGCAGACTCAATTTCCGGATGCTCATCAATGTTTTGATGCTGGATCATTGAGTCAAAGGTGGTGCCAGCAGGCCAATCCGTACATTGCTCAATAATGTCTTTAAAGCCAAGCAAATCCGCCTCTCCGAAGAAGAACTGCTCCTGCACGGAGAGCAGTAGCTGCCTGGGAGTGTGTGCCGCGGGAAGATTGACGCGAATGGGAACAATGTTGAGGCACGTCCCGACCACCTCATCAATGCCAGACATAGCAGCGTTGCGCCCTGCAACGACGTGGCCAAAGACAACATCGTCTTCTCCGGTAATGTGCGATAGCAGCAGAGCCCATGCCGCGCTCAGTAGGGTTGCCGGGGTAGTCTTGCTAGGTAGCTGCGGCAAATCTATCTCTGCTTCTTCATAGACTCGCTGAGGCGACCCCGAGATGGCTTTGGGGCGGAGGATTGGTTCAGGAACGGTAAGAGACGATCCTGTCAGAACCTTGGTCCAGTATGTAATGGCCTTTGTTCGTTGCTGAGCTGCATAGGACAGGAACCTGCCGAAGGTAGGGCCAGCAGGGCGTTCGATTCCGCTGTATTCGTCCATGAGCGATTGCAAAATAATGGGAAAAGAAATTCCATCGTACTGAGCGTGCGAGAGTCGAAGAATTAGTCGCACGCCGTCCTTGTGTCGCAGAAGCGTAATCGAGATTGGAATATCGGTCGAGCTCATCTCGTGCAAGTCCTTGACACAGAACTGATGGGCAGCCTGGTTAACATCATCTACATCCTCGATGTGAATTGGCAACCTGAGCTGTCGAAAAACAACTTGCCATAGCTTCCCTTCAAGATGGAGGAAGCGTGCACGGAGAATCGAGAACTTGTCCAAAGTCGCCCAGTAACTTGTTTGAATCTTTGATACATCCAAGTCTTCAAGATCAATGTAAAAGTAGTTTGCGTGTTGCCCAACCGTCTCACCGTCAAGCACAATCTTTTCTTGGAAGCTCGTGAGAGGCAACACATCCTCAACGTCGTCAACAGAGACACCGAGGGCGGTAATCTCCTCGAGGACAGAGACTGGTGGCGGGCGGTCAACAAATACAATGTCCGTCTCCTCTTCCTCTGGGCTGAGGTGGCAGGCCAGGTCTTCAAGCACGTCATGACGAAAAATATCCGCCACGGATAGTTTGAACCCCACCTTGCGAGCCTCTGAAACGATGCGCATGGCCGTGATCGAGTTGCCTCCGAGGTGGAAGAAACTGTCGTCCAACCCAATGGAATCCAAACTGATGTGGAGCACATGGGACCAGATTCTCTGCATCTCCCGCTCCATGTCTGTAGTTGGCTGTCGTATCGAGGCTCGGGCCGCTGTGCGTGTTTGAGTCCTGGCTGCAAGCGCCCGGCGGTCAACCTTGCCATTCTCGTTTATTGGTAGTTCATCGACGACGGTAATTGCATGGGGGACCATGTACGAAGGAAGCTGAGTCTGAAGTCTCTCGAAGAGGCCCTCTTGGACCGTCTGGTACAGCTGTAACCGTAGAGGCCGGCTGGTCAACAGATGTGAAGGGCGGTTATGGTCGGTAGGGAACCTGAATAAGACTCTATCCCCACGGGACGGTTGTTGACGGTGGAAGATGGCATCAAGACCACCGCGCTGTGAATACTGGCGGGCACAGCTAATTTCCACCTGGAAGCATGCCAAATGCGCCAACTCGACCAAGCCGGCCACAGACATTGAAGGGCAATGTTCAGCGTTGCGTAGGGCGGACGTGATCCAATCAGGGCCTTGCCCCCTGTCGAGTGCCTCGACAACATGCCTCTCAATGATTGTGTTCTGGAAAGGAATGTTGCTGACGGCCAGAGTGGACGATGTTTGACCCAAGAGCTCCAAGAGCGATTGTCGGTTCAAGTTGTTCTTTTGAAAGTCGATCCACTCACTTTCAACTTCGTGAACATGCAGCTGCGAGTCGTGCTGGAGATGGACAACAGCAGAGTAGCGATAGCAGCTGAGTTCGTTTACAGCCTTCATCCGCTTTGGAAGAATTTCGACGTGGTGAATAAACTTGAACCGAGCTGCCAGAGCAGTAAAAAAGGCTGGATCGACCATCAGCTCCATGTCCGCTCGTTTTATATCCTCCATTTTGCGGCGAATTTCGTCCTTGCTTGCAGCTTCTCCAGCGATGCGCAATGCTCTGCTGGCTTGGAACTGTGTGTTCAAGGCATATGATCGGATGTCACCGAAGAAAAGGGTCTCAACGCCGCCTAGTTGAACGACGTCTTCTATAACCTTGACAAGGTATTCCTGGCTGGGAAAATATTGAGCAACCGAATTGATGACCACAAGGTTGGGCAACATTGTGGGTAGCCGCTTGACGTCTGCCGCTGTTCCTTGGTATACGCAAACCTTGTCTCTGAGCATCGACATTGACTTGGCTGCCCTGACTGTAAACTCCACTGCCTTTTCAGAAGGTTCAAGGCCGACATAGCTTTGCACTCCCTTCAAGTTGAAGAGAATCATTCCGGTACCCGTTCCAATCTCGAGAACATTCCGTGGTTCGTAAGCATTGATGGTTGCCATGGTATCGTCGAGCCACTCATTCATCTCCTGTTTGTCAATATCTTGTCCAGTATACGTGGAAACCCATCCGGTGAAATCTCTTCCAATAGTCTCAGGCTTGACGTCTTGAATCGTACTGTAAGTGTCCGCATCGAAAAGCTCCCCCCACACATTGACAATATCGGTCACATCCTCTTCTTGTCCGGCATCTTCCGTTGCTTCATTGACGGTAACAAATGCGGCGAGCTGGGCCTCCTGACCTTCTTGCAAGACGACAATGGCGTCGTGAACAGAGTCGTGACTGCGTAGACAGTGCTCAATCTCGCCCAGCTCAACACGGTGGCCTCGAATCTTAATTTGGCCATCAATTCGCCCGAAAAACTCCAACTGTCCGTCTGTGCGATAGCGTACATAGTCACCTGTTCGATAAGCTTTGACTCGTTTGTGACCAATCGTGACGGTAACAAAGCGGTCGATATCTCGGCCCGGATCCGTATATCCCCTTGCAAGACCGTCCCCAGTCACCACCAGCTCCCCGACCACCCCCAACGGTACAAGTTGCTGTTGTTGATCCATGACGTATGCACCGGAGTTGCTGATGGCCTTCCCTATAGGCACTCCATTGACGCACCTCTCTCCATTCTGTAGGCAATACAGGGTGCTGATGACCGAGTTTTCAGTTGGGCCATAGGCATTAATGATATGGCCACTCATGAGACCTTGTGCCATGAATAGATCTTGCGAGTCGGCTCGGTCTCCTGCCACATAAAGAGCAGTGAGAGCACCGATGACTGGAGGGCATTGAATGAGGTATTGCTTCAAAAGGGCCGGCGTGAATATAGCCGCTTGAATCTTTTCCCTGGCGAATATCTCAGGCACGGCTCTAAAGTCCAATACATCCATGGCACTGATACAGACTACCATGCCACCGTTGAGAAGAGCACCATATATTTCCCATCCTGAGACATCAAAGGCGATATTTGTGATGTGAGCCATTGTTGGAGTAGACGGCAAGTAGCTCGCCATGTTGCTTCCCTTTACCAGCCGCACTATACCACGGTGATTAATCATAACGCCCTTTGGGTTGCCTGTAGAGCCCGACGTGAACATGACATAGGCAAGGCTGGTGGCATTGGGAGCCGTGATGTGAATCTCAGATGTGGCCTCGTGGAGTGTCTCAGCGATCGGAACAAATGAAACGTCCAGACCCTCAGGAACCTGCACGTTATTTCCAACAAGGACGAGCGTCTGCCCATCCACAGAGCCTAGGATCTTCTCCATTCGTGCTCGCGGGGTGTGGACATCAAAAGGCAGATACGCCAGGTTGGCCTTCAAGATGCCCAATAGTGCAACTACGGTGCGACAGCATCGGCTGGAAAACACCCCGATGAGGGTCCCAGGAGCAAGGCAGCGTTTGGCTAACCACCTGGCAGTTGAATCGGACTGCTGGTCCAACTCGGCATATGTGAGCTGAGAGGATGAATCCTTGACAGCAACCTTGTCAGGATTGAGCAGAGCCTGCTGACGGAAGAGATCAACGATGCTGGCGTCGGGGCAATCCACTCGATCAATCTCGACAAGACCCATTTGATCGAGCTTGGCGTAGTCAGCATCCGAGAGCAGCGACATTGACGTTATTGCCGCGTTCGGATCTCCAAGGCCGGCCTCGAGAACTCTCTTGAAGACCGACAGCATGTTGCGAATTGTCTGGGCATCAAATAGGTCTGTAGAGTAAAGGACCTCACCTTGGAAGGCCTCCTGTTCCTGGAAGAAATGGAACTCGAGATCGAATCTAGTGGTGGGCGGTACCTTGACCATTTCGGTGTCCAAACCCTCCAGCACAAACTCGCCGAGGTCCATCTGAGAATGCAGAGCAAAGACAAGCTGCGCAAGCGGGTGACGTGACAAGTCCCTGCCTCTGTTTAGCTGAGAAACAATATTTTCGAAAGGGACGTCTTGATTGGCAAAGGAGGCAATGGTTGTTGCGTGAACCTGCTGGACAAGTTGCTTAAAGGACTCGGCCTCGACCCTGATTCGAATGCATTGCATATTAACAAAGAACCCAATCATGTCTTTGACTTCCCAGCGGTCGCGGTTTGCGTTGACTGTTCCCATGGTTGCATCAGTCGAGCCAGTCAAGAAGAAATGCGCTACCCTAAAGGTAGAAAGGAGAGCTACAAAAGGCGTCACGCTCTGTGTGCGGCAGAATGTCCGCAGCTGCTGATACAATGCGCCATCGATTCGAAGGCTTTCCACAGCTGCTTCTCCGGAAAGGGCCGCCGGCCTGGGCTTGTCACAGAGAAACTCTGCTGGCTGGCTAGTTTCTAGCTGTTTGACCCAGTAGGAGAGTTGTCGCTGGTGCTCGTCTAGTTGGTCTTGCTGCTTCTGCCAAACGGAAAAGTCTCTGTACTGGATAGGTAACGATTCAACGAGGGCCAGAGGGTCCTGGTTTCGGATCGCGGCCGAATAGAACTTCTCCAGCTCCGCACGAAGGATATCGACAGACCAACCATCAGACACGATATGATGCATGATGATGGAAAGCAAATAATTGGTGTCATCCAGACGAAAGACTGTAACCCTCCAGCCTGGCTCGGTCTTGAGATCAAATGGCGTCCTCTGGTCGTCTTCCAATGCTTTCATCAGGTTGTCCTCGGTAACACTGACAACCCTAATCTTCTTGGCCTGGAAAGGATGCACCTCCTGCAGGTGGACATCGTTTTGAGACACAAATGTGGTTCGAAGAGTCTCGTGCCGCTTTTCCAAGGCGAGGACTGCCGTATTGAGAGCATCGAGCTCAAGGTGGCCCCGAAGCCGTATTGCGCTTGGCATCATGTACCAAGTCAAGCCTGGGTATAATTGTTCCAAGAACCAAAGGCGCCGCTGGGCAAACGATTGCTCGACAGGGCCATCCACCTCCGTCTTTGGAATGCTCTCCATGGCCTTGGCCAAAGGAAGGCCTTCAGCCATGTCACGCAACACCGGGCGGCGGAAGACGTCGGCTACTGCGAGGTTGAGTCCTATTTTGCGAGCATCGCCGACAAGCCTCATAGCACCCAGGGAGTCACCACCAACCTGGAAGAAACTGTCATCCAAGCCAATCGAGTTGGCATCAGTGTTAAGAACCTGGGCCCAGATTGCTTGTAGCTGCCGCTGCGTCTTGCTTGTCGGCTGCCGGAGTGGTCCCCTCGTTGCTCGGCTCTGCAGGCTTTCAGTAAGGGCGCGGCGATCGACTTTGCCGTTTTCGTTGACGGGCATCTTGTCGAGTATATGGACCGCCTGAGGAATCATGTAAGGAAGCAACTGGCTCTGCATCCCATCTCGAAGCTGTTCCCGAATCTTTTGTTTCACCTGCTGCCGAAGTGGCTGGCTGCTAAGCGACTGATGTGCATCGTCAATGGGGAACCGAAACATGACCCTCTGTCCATTGGATTCGTGTCGGTGAAAGATGGCATCCAGGCCACCGCGCTGGGAGCGTTGACGAGCCCAGCTAATTTCCACCTGGTACCCAGTAGACCTGGCCAACTGCACGAGATCAATCGCACACAATGAAGCACAATCGTTGGCCTTTTGGCGAGCAGATGATAGCCAGTCTTCGTCACCGTCTGCATCGCCAAGCATGTCTAGGACATGTCTTTCAAAGATTGTCTTGCTGTAAGGAATATTGGCAACGGACACGGTGGGTGAAGTTGAAGATTGCAAGAGCTTCAGAAGCGACTCATGATGTAGCCCATCTTTCATAAAGTCAATCCATGGACCTTCCGCGTCGCGAATTTGCAAGCCTTGGCCCTTGCCATGCACCACGGCAGCATAGCGATAACAGCTAAGCTCGTTTGTAGCCTGCATCTTCTTTGGAAGAATCTCAACGTGCTCGACAAGATCAGGTAGCAGACTTGGCAGTGCAGTAAAAAATGCTGGATCAACTTGGAATTCCACCTCCATCTGCTCCATGCTGGCCATCTGTCGGCGCAAGTCATCCTTTGTTGGCTTCTTTCCAACCCTGTACAATGAGCGGGTGACTGTAAACTCCTTGTACATGGCGTAAGATCGCATATCGCCAAAGAAGAAGGTCTTTGCATTCTGCTGGAGAACACGTTCGACCACCTTGGTAAGATACTTCAAGCTGGGAAAGTATTGAGCAACCGAGTTGACAATGGCGAGATCATATTCGGTTGTCAGGCCCAGATGACCAACATCGGTCGCCGTGCCCTTGTACATCCGGATCTTGTCCGCCATAGGCATAGACTTTGCTGCCCTTGTGACGAATTCGACTGCTTTCTGGGACGGGTCAAGGCCAACATAGCTCCGCATTCCGTTGTTGCATAGGTTGAAGAGAATCATGCCGGAACCAGATCCAAGCTCAAGAACATGACCGGCCTGGCCGCCATTGAGGATCGTGTCAATGGTGTCATCTAGCCACTCATTCATTTCGCCCTTGTCAATCTCACTTCCGTCGTACATGGAGGTCCAACCGACAAAGTCTCGTCCAATCAGCTCAGGCTTCACATTGTCGAAGCCTGCATAAATGTCCGTGTCAAAAGACTCCTCCCACACTTCGACTTGCTTTTTTTCGTCGTCGCCATCCACTTCTTGTTCCATACGTTGAACCTTGTGTTGAATGTCGGGCTCATCAAGTGTGATAAACCCAATGAGGCGGGCGCCCTGGGGATCTTGCTGTAGCGTAACAACTGCATCATTCACCGACTCATGGTTGCGCAGTACGTGCTCGATTTCTCCCAGCTCGACACGCTGGCCTCGAATCTTGACTTGGGCGTCCATTCGCCTCAGGCACTCAATCTGCCCATCGGATGGCCGGCACCGAGCAAGATCGCCGGTTCGATAGGCCCTGACCGTCTTGCCGTCGATCGTAACATTGATAAACCGACCGGTGTTTCTTTGAGAATCCAGATAACCCCTGGCGAGGCCGTCTCCTGTAACCACAAGCTCTCCAACAACGCCGAGCGGAACCAGGCATTGCTGCGTGTCCATCACATACGCACCCGAGTTGCTGAGTGCTCTGCCAATGGCCACTCCGTTAACGCAAATATCCTTGACAGGCAAGCGGTATGTTGTACTGAAGGTGGTGTTTTCGGTAGGCCCATAACCGTTATACACCTTGCCCCCTCGCATGAGGCTCCGAGCCGTGAATACATCCTGGGGGTCTAGCCTGTCGCCGCCAACATATATGGTGTCGAGGAGGCCGATTGCAGTCGGACAATTAGACAGGTACTGCTTTAACAGAGCAGGAGTGATGAAGATGGCCTGAATCTTCTCCTCGGCAAAGATTCTGGAAGTGGCAGCGTAGTCCAACACCGTGAGAAGGTCAATACATATAACCGTGCCTCCATTCAAGAGGGCCCCGTAAATCTCCCAGGTTGCAGCGTCAAAGGCAATGTTGGACATGTGCGCAATGATGCCTGAGCCATGCGGCCTCAGGTCATCGTCCTTGATAAGACGCAGTACGCTGCGATGCTCCACCATGACTCCCTTCGGTCGGCCTGTCGAGCCTGAAGTGAACATGACATAGGCAAGACTTGAAGGTGAAGGACTCGGGCAAGTATTCCTTTGAATGCTACTCATCCGTGCCCCGTGCTCAAGGGCTTCTGAAATCATGACAAACTCCACTTCGAGCGCAAAGCTGGGAACTCGTACGCCGTCTCCCGTTAGAACCAGCATGTGGCCTATCGACGAGATAATGCCTTCCATTCGACTTGCAGGAATCTTGAGGTCAAATGGCAAATAGGCATGGTTAGCCTTGAGAATGCCCAAGATGGCGATGATGCTTTGGCAAGAGCGACCGCAAAACACTCCGATAAGGGTCTCTGGAGCGAGGGACTTGCTCATCAACCATTGAGCAACATGCTCAGACAAGCCATCTAGCTGAGCATAAGTCAGCTGCGAGGAGGCGTCTTTGACAGCTACACGGTCTGCGCAGGCAGCAACCTGTTGTCGGAACTCGTCGACTATGCTCGAGTTTCGAGGGTAGGCGGTCTGCTTTACTTGAATCAGTCCCATGGAATCAAGTTTATCGTAGCCCCCATCTGTCATTAATGGCAAAGCGGCCACGGGTGTTTGTGGCTCGTTGAGACCCTTCTCGAGTACGGTTCGAAAGACTTCAAGTACGTTGTCTATGGTGTCGGGATGAAAGAGGTCCGTCGAAAAGATCAACTGTCCACGCAGTCCTTTTTCTTCGGTGAAGAAGTGAAATTCGAGATCGAATCTTGTGGTGATTGACTGATCAATGTACTCGATTTCATAGCCTTCGAGTGCAAACTTTCCAAGATCTAGCTGTGAGTGTACAGCAAAGACAAGCTGGATGAGCGGATGGCGAGACAAATCGCGTTCCTTTCGCAACTTTGAAACGAGTCTCTCGAATGGCACATCCTGATTGGCAAGGGATGAAATGGCAGCCGATTGGACGAGCTTGACCAACTCGCCAAACGTAACAGATTCGTCTTCAATCTTGACACGAAGACATTGCATGTTGACAAAGAAGCCAATTGTGTCCTTGAGCTCCCATCTGTCACGATTGGCGTTGGGGCTGCCAATGACTCCGTCGCCATCACCCGTCAGACGATAGTGTGTGGCCCGGAATGCAGCTAGCAGCACAATAAATGGTGTCATGCCATGGGTCCTACAAAACTCCTGCAGTTTGTCGTATACCGGGCCATCTATACAAACCTCCCGTACGTCAGCCTTTCCAGACAAGGTGGGTGGTCGAGGCTTGTCGCACAAGAATTCTGCTGGATGACTCGTCTCTAGCTCCGTCATCCAATACTTGAGTTGCCGCTCATGTTCATCAACTTGGGCTTGTTGCCTTTGCCAGACAGAAAAGTCTTTATACTGAATCGGCAAGGGATCGATGTTTGACAGCGGATCCTCCCCACGAAGAGCAGCAGAGTAAAACGAGCTTAATTCTCTGCGGAGAATGTCAATGGACCAGCCGTCGGATATAATATGGTGCAAGACAATTGATAAAATGTGTTCGTCGTCACCAACACGATAGAGTGTGACTCTCCATCCCGGTTCGTTCTCTAGATTGAATGGTGTCGTCTCATCTTGAGATAGTACGTGTGGCAGACTCTCCTGGTCCGCCGACATGTCCACCACAGTCAGCTCCCTTGACCGAACGGCATGGATGTGCTGCAGGTTGGTGCCTTCTCGGGTGGAAAAGGTTGTTCGCAAAGTTTCGTGGCGATCTTCCAGGGCAATGAAGGCTGCGGTTAATGCATCAAGCCGTAGCGGTCCCGTGAGTCGCATAATGCAGGGCATGAGATACCATGTCAACCCAGGATAAAGCTGTTCCAGGAACCACAGGCGCGCTTGAGCAAACGACTGCTCAGCAGGCCCATCTATCAGCATTTTGGGGACCTTGGTGTTCCTACCGAGCATCTGGGCTTGCGTCGCCGCCTCGTGGAGCCTTGGATAACGGAACATGTCTGCCACCACCAATTCAAGACCGGCCTTGCGTGCCTCCCCCACAAGTTTCATGGCTGTTATTGAGTCGCCTCCCAGCTGGAAGAAGTTGTCATCTCGGCCAACCGAGGCTGGTGGAATACCAAGCACCTTTGCCCAAACTTGTTGCATCTGCCGCTCCGCCTCTGATGCCGGTTGCCGCTTTGGCCCTTGCTGGGCTGTTCGTGCCTGAGCTAGCTCCTGGGCAGAAAAGGATGAACCAATACGGCGCAGCTCCTTTCTGTCCATCTTTCCGGTTGTGCCCATTGGGAGTTGCCGCATTGCGAAAAATACTGTCGGCACCATATATGTGGGAAGACTTTCGGCCAGCTTCTGCAGGACATCTGCAGAGGGCAGCAGGACCGCTGCTTTGGGGGGGTTTTCTGTTGAGACGCCGTTGATCATCATGCTGTCCTCAATCTGGAGGAAGACGGCTAGCGCTGGATTTGACTTATCCGACCGTGGCACAATGACTTCAGCAACAGCCTGCTTTGCCTGCGGCATACTAATCCGAACGTGGCGTTCAACCTCGCCGAGCTCGACTCGCTGTCCACGAAGCTTGACTTGGTCATCTTTGCGGCCGATATATGATATGCTGCCATCTTGGTTGTACCGAACCAAGTCACCCGTCTTGTAAAGTCTCCCGTGTCGACCAGGGCGACCATCTACGCCTTGCAGCAACCACACGGGGTCCATGATAAAGGCGTCCGCCGTCTTCTCCGGCTCATGCAAATAGCCCTGACCGACAAGAGGACCTTCAAGCAGAAGCTCACCAATACTCCCGAGGGGAGTCAGGGAATTGAAATCCTCCGGGTCCACAATCCACGTCACTTGCCCGGCGCCCCATCCGAGGCGGACGGCATTTTCGGGGCTCGTCGGCTCGGGGTTGATCATGCTGACTGGAGTACACTCGCTTGGTCCATAAATAGTAATGATCTTGACAGACTCTGCGTCCCACCATGGCTGGATGTCCTTGACACGTATGGCTTCTCCACCGAGAATCATGGACCTCAGTGAGGGTAGCTGTTCTGGAGATAGTAGCTCGGCAACAGACGGAGTGAGAAACACGGCGTTGGATCTCAACGACTCCATACTGTCAGCCAAATTGTTTTTGCGGCCATCATCCGTAGGGACACATAGGCAGCCGCCAGCAGCGAGCACGGTAAAGGCATTCAAGATGCAGCCGTCAAAGCTATATGTGGAAAAATCGTACACTCGGGTTTCAGTTGTATAACCGAACCCTTTGATCTGATGAAGAACAGCCGAAGCAGAGCTTCTATGGTTAATAATTGCGCCCTTTGGTGTTCCGGTAGTACCAGAAGTGAAAACAGCGTAAATGACCGAGTCAAGTTCAGGGGCTGGCAGAGGGCGCACAATATCTTGCATCCCAGTCATCAAGTCTTGAGCGATGACCACATTTTCACAGAGCTGTCGACTCAAAGTCTCATTCGTAGAAGAAGTCAGAATCATGGCCGCCTCCACTTGCCCAACCACGGACTTGAGGCGTTGCTGGGGAAGGGAGGCGTCCAGCAATACGAAGGCTCCGCCAGTCTTGACCATGGCGAGCATCGCCACCGTCGCCCACATCGATTTCTCAAAGCAGAGGGCCACAAATACAGCCGGTCCCACGCCCAGGTCAGCTAGACGGCTGGCCAAGTCGGAGGAGAGCTGGTCGAGTCGTTGATATGTAAGTTCGCCATCCCAGGCGCACACCGCTGGGGCGTTGGGATGTATACGGACTCGGTCCGCAATTAACTCATGAATGCATTGATCAGCTGGACGCGGAACGTTCTGGTTCCACGCCCAGATTTTTTCGAGATCCTGGGGAGTAGCCATGGCAATGGTTGCCAGTGCTTTAACACCTCCATTGTCGAGCTGCTGCATAACGTGTGCAAGCTGTTGCAGTAGCAGTTGCACGGCCCATGCCGAAATTACCTTTGCGTTGAAGCTTGCCTTGACAGTAATGTCACTAGCGCTGATCTGTACCAGAATGGTGAGTCCATGAGTATTGAACCACTGGTGTTGGTCACCATCATGCCATTCGCCAAGTACATTCTCTCCAGCATCCTCCTCCTGAGGCTGAATGACGAGAAGAGTCTGGAAGTTGCAGGCTTGCTGGCTGCCCGGCGAGATTTTCGCGATGCGATGTAGGCCCATTTGCTCAAAGGGTATCATGTCTGTTGCCTGCTGCTGTATCGTTTCAAGATAGTCTGCGATGGCCTGGTTTTTCGAGAGGCGGACCCGCAAAGGAAGGGTAGCGAAGGTAGGACCAACCATCCGCTCGATGTCTGGAACCGGAGCATTTCTTCCAGAGACGGTGACGCCAAAGCACACATCTCCCGAGTCGGTAGCTCCGCCGGCAACAAGTGCCCAAGCAGCACGAATGACCGTTGATGCTGTAAATTTCTTATTCCTTGGGCGTGGTAATGGCTGTTCAACAGATGCATCCGCAACTTGCACTTCTGTAGATGAACTCGGAGGCGGGAAAGGCACTGCCTCGCAATCGTTCAGCGCCTGTCGCCAGTAGTCAACCATTTTGCTAGTATCGCTGTCCTGGATGTATTTTATAAAGGTCTGGAAGCTGGGCCCCAGATCAAGGCTGCTTCCCTGATATGCCTTGTTGACGGCCTTGATAATTAGTGGTTCAGACCAACCGTCGTAGAGAACATGATGAACAGTCCACACAAACCACCGGGCATCCGACTCCCCGACAAGGGCATAACGGGCAAGCGGTTGACCGACTCCCATGGTTTGTTGTCGATCAGCTTCGAGGTAGTCATCGAGACCGGATGTCTCTATCCAACTGATGTTTTCGTCAGTAACAGCCTGAAGGAGGCCCAAGCTGTCGTGCTCAATGATGCGAGTCCTCAGGATTGGAAGTGATCGTACTACTTCCTCCCACGCGTTGCGGAATCTGCTGATATCGATGTTTGAGGACAACTCTAGTTTAGCCTGCAGGACATAATTTCCCGAGCGCTTCATCGAGAGCGACAAGAGTCCTTCCTGCAGTGGCGTGCATGGAAAGGCATCCAGGATGGTGACGGACGTGGGAATTTGGTGTTGTTTCATGGCGGCTTCGGCAAACGCCTTCACGTCCAAACCTTCCCCTAGGAGTGAAAACGGAGACAGATCCTGTGGTCCTTTTTCCAGTTGAGCAACGGCCTGGTGAGTGACATTGGCAAGTGTTGGCTGGCGGAAGATGGCTGCCACTGTGAGAACAAGGCCTTCTTTTCGAGCTTGTGCTACCAGCTTCATGACACTAATCGAATCTCCTCCGAGCTCGAAAAAGTTGTCATCTAAACCAATTGATGCCATGTCAATGTTCAGCACCTGTGCCCATATATGCTGCATCTTTCGCTCTGCTTCTGATAAAGGCTGCCGCTTTGGGCCTTGCCCGTTGGTCTGTATCGTGGCCAGCTGCTGGATAGAAAATGACCCGCCAACCTGACGAAGTTGGATTCGGTCTGTCTTTCCGGAGGGAGTTTGTGGCAGTCTCCGCATGTAAAAAAACACAGCTGGAACCATGTAGCCGGGAAGCCTCTGCGAGAGCATGTTCTTCGTGTCTGTAGGTATACGGACGACCTCGACGGCGGGAGACTCAACCTCGATGGCCTTGTCCATCTGTAAAAAGGCAGAAAGCATGGGGGTTGAAGTTCCTTGTGGTGTGATGACATCGACAACCACCCGTATTGCCTCGGGTAGGCACTGCTGGACGCAGTGCTCAACCTCACCCAGCTCAACCCTCTGGCCACGGATTTTGATCTGTGCATCCTTACGGGCGACAAATGCCAAACTTCCATGATCTTGATAGCGCACCAAATCTCCTGAAAAGTAGACTCTGCCGTGTCTTCCCGAGTGGCCTGGGGAACCTTGCAACAGCCATGCGGGATCGTCGACAAACGACGCAGCCGTTTTTTGCGCATCGTTCAAGTAGCCCTGACCAACAAGAGGACCTTCAAGAGCCAGTTCGCCGATGCATCCCGGCGGCATCAAACGATTTCGGTTCTCAGGGTCGACGATCCAGGTCACAAGACCTGATCCTTTGCCCAGGAGAGTAGCCTCCTCGGGGCTCGGTGCATCTGCATTGACGGTGCTGATGTGTGTTTCCGCCGGTCCATAGATATTCACGATCCGGGCCTTCCCCCACCATCTGTTCACATCGTCAACAGACAGGGCCTCGCCGCCCATAATTATGGTTTCCAGATCTGGCAGTGTCGCTGGATCAATCAGACGGGATACCGAAGGCGTCAGCTCCACGACCGTGGCTCGCATCGCCTTCATGACGCTGGCAGGGTTTCCTCTACGATCTTCATCAGAAGGAACGCAAAGACAACCACCAGTGACATAGGTGGCGAAAGCATTGTGGACGGCCAGGTCGAAAGCATACGACGCAAAATCAAAGACTCTAGATGTTTCCTTGAATCCAAGAGCTTCGGCTTGATGCATCAAAGCAGTGGTAAAGTTGGTATGTGTAAGAACTATGCCTTTTGGAGTGCCGGTGCTTCCCGAGGTAAAGACGGCGAACATGGCGGTCGAATGCGGCTCCGTCTTTGGCCTTGGAATTGAAGAGGTCGTGGTGGGAATGAAGTCTGCGCTGACCTGAACAACCGTCTTGCACAGGCGGGCGCAAAGATGCCGGTTGGAGGCTGAGGATAGGATGAGGTTACTTCCAACCTGTTGAGTCATGGACTGTAGTCGTTGCTCTGGCAAAGAGGGATCTAGTAGAACAAAAGCTGCGCCCATCTTGACCACGGCGAGCATCGCCACAGACGTGTACAATGATTTCTCGAAGCACAGCGGTACTAGTGCTCCAGGCTGGACTCCTACTTGATGAAGATGGCCGGCCAGTCTGGTGGAAAGATCGTCCAATTCCTTGTACGAAAGCTCGCCATCCCAGGCACATATGGCTGGTTCATGTGGCTGGGCCAAGCTGCGTTCTCGGATTAGATCATGGACAAATCGCTCATCAGCTGCGGGCACAGTGCTGTTCCATCCCCATATTATGTCCAGATCACGTCTTCCTAGCAAGCAGAGATCCTTGGTCGGCTTCAAGGGGTTGGCTACAATGTCGGAAACGGCGGCACTGAAGCAGGCTGCTAGTCGAGCTGCGTCGTTGGTCGAGAGACAACCTGCTCTGAAGTCGATCAGAACCTCGATTTCGGCGGTGCCATCAACGACGTCAATTGTCACGTCATACTTTAATGCGTTAGTGTCGCTGTACATAGGAGCATATATGTTTTTCTTACCTCTGTCAGGTCATAGCTGTCCGCAACCCGGACCGTCAGTCCACCTTCATTTCCGCGTGTCTCATCGGTATTCTTCTGGTACGACAGCAACGTATTGAACAGCTGACGTGAGCCAAGAAGCCCAGCTGCCCTGTGGACTTCAGCCAGAGGGGAGTGCTGATATGGGATCGTGCTGAGATAGTCAGTCTGAACCTCCTTCAAGGTGTCAAGAACCCCCTTGGACCCGTTCAAGTGAATGCAGCATGGAATCATTCCGATCAGAGGTCCAAATATGCTGTCGATGCCTTCAACTGGTATATCTCGACCAGAGTATAGGTTTCCAAAGCAGGGTGCCGGAGTTGCAGCGTACATGCCGAGCACAAGACCCCACGCCAGCTTCATAATTGTCGCAGCGGTTACGTCCCATTTCGCACAGAAGGCGCGAATGCTTTCAGAGTCGAGATTTGGCACGGCGACTTGCTCGACTTTGGAGGGGATTGTACAGTCCGATGTTGGGAAAAGGGTCGGTTCAACACCAGCCAAGTACTGGGACCAAAACTCCAACCTGGCCTCCTGTGACTGGTTTTCCAGATGTAAGATGAAATCCTTGTACGATCCGGCAGCCTCGAGCTGGTCATGATAGGCAGCCTGAAGATCTTTACACAACAGGCTCTGCGAGAAGCCATCGGTGATTGCGTGGTTCATGTGAAGCCGCAGACGAGCCCGCCTCTCACCAAACGAGCACACCTGCAGCCGATGTTGAAGGCCATACTTGTTGAAATCTGGAAAGCACATGGTCTCGGCCCCCCATGAGATGCCAAGTTCAGGGTCTTTCAGCACGACATGCATGGGCCGGCTGCTTCCTGGAAAGTCGTCGACCAGCACAGCACGCAGCATCGCGTGTCGCTTGACGACAGCCTTCCAAGCGTCGGTGAGCTTCGCCCGGTCCAGCTGCTGGTTTGCGTCGAGCTCTATCTCGATGTCGCACCACCGTAGGTAGTTGGCCTCTTCCTTTGCCTGAGCGAGTATGATGCCTTGTTGCAGAGGAGCGCAGGGGAATATATCCTCTACATCAAGGGGCTCGACCCCGAGCTGCACCAGGGTTTGGTTGCGGAACTCTTGGATATCCCCGTAAGTGTTGAAGACATTGGGGAAGTCGCTCAAAGTCCATCCGGGAGAAATTCTGGGCAGGTCTGTTGCCATCTGCCTCAGGGTGCTTTGATACTCGCCAATCCATCTCATAATGTCGTCCCTGTGATGCATGTCTTTGTGGAACTCGACTTCTCCCACGATGCACCCTCTGACGACCTGTACGTCAAAGTCAAATAGGGCGAACCTTCGTACGTCCCGGCAAGAGGGCGGGTCGCAGTTTTCTGGGACGCTGAGCTGCTCGAAAAGGCCGTCCTGCCGCTCCAGGTTGCGATAAAAGCCCGCATAGTTGAACATGACCTCGACGGGAAAGTCGGTTCCAAATCGGCTGGCGTTGCTCTCATCCGCAAATCGGGAGGTAAAATATGACCAGCCATTGCGCGACAAGCTTCGTATACAGTCCTTTGTTTCGCGGATGAAGTCGATGAGACCATTCGCGCCTGGGGAAACTCGAACGGGGAAAATGGTGGAAAACCATCCCAGGGTGGTGGTGATGTCGAGGCTGTCATGCCAAACCTCACGACCATGACCCTCGCTGAAGACTGCTGGAAGCGCACAATCACTGAAGATGCGACTGAACGAGTAAGCGAGCGCCGCTATCATGAGTTCGAGGGGACGCGTCCCTAGGGCGTCATTGCAGCGGCCGAGAATGAGCGAGCTGGTCGGCTCGTCCATGGTGAAGTGCTCGACAATGGCACCGCTCTTTAGGTTGGGATTAGACTCCATTCCCCAGTATGCCATGTTTGTCTGGCTCTCAGGCAGATCGGGGGCATTTGCGTGCAGACTTTCTTTGGCATACTGCGCTTGCATGGCGCTCCAAGTGGGAAAATCCATCGAAGGCGGTGCCGTCAGAGGTCCGTTTGTGATAATGTCCTCCAGCTCCTGCATCAGCACCCTCCAGGACACCAAATCAATGACAAGATGGTGTATTGTGAGAAAGAGAGTCTGATGGTCCGGCTTGTCGAAGAGCACGGCGGAAAAGATGGGCCCTTCGGTGATGCTCAATGCCGCACGACTTTTGGCGATGGCTTCGGCCGTCCCAGACACGCCCGACTCGACCCGAAACAGCAGAGATGCATCAACGTCGTCGCTGATGCGCTGCTCCCAGCCTCCATGGTCATTTTGGCGGAAGCGAGCACGCAAGACGCCGTGTCTGCGGACAATCGTCTCCAGCGCCGCCGACACGAGTTGATGGCTCGTGGTCCTGCGCAAACCGAGGTAAAAGAACTGGTCAAAGCAAGCTGTCGGGTCATTCTGCAGAACGAAGTACAGTCTCTGGATCGGGCTCAACTGTGCTGGGCCGTTATCAACTCTTGTCACTGGTTGGTCGGGCGCATGTGCGTTGATGAGTGTGGCACCGTTGGTGCTTCCCTGGGTGCCTGTGGCCTGGGCCAGGTTGGATATGGTCCTTTGTCGGAGGATATCAACAACGCCAATGTGCACATGGAACGCGCGCGCGCCGTGTGAGACCTGCATGGCCGAGATGGAGTCGCCGCCGAGGCGATAGAAGCTGTCGTCGAGTCCGATGGCCGACGCATCAATGTTGAGGACGCGAGCCCAGAGTGCCTGGAGCTGCCTCTCGAGCTTCGTCCTTGGCTGGCGCTTGGCTACCTGCCCGCTGGTGCCCAGGTCTGCCAGCTGTTGGGCGGTGACGGTGCCTCCGAGCTCGCGCAGCCGTCTCCTGTTCATCTTGCCGCTGGCCGTCATGGGCATTTCCTTAATGGCCAAGAACAGCACCGGCACCATGTAGCTCGGCAGCTGCTTGGCCAGCTGCTCCATCCTGTCTGTGTCGACGGGCAGTGTCTGAAACGAGGACGAGGCCTGCTGGGCGTCATCGAGCACAAGGAATGCAGCCAACGTGGGACTCGACTTCTTTCCGCAAGGAACGACGACTTCGGCCGCGACTTGCTTTGCCTCGGGAAAACATTGCTGGACTCTGAACTCGACCTCGCCCAGCTCGACGCGCTGTCCGCGGATCTTGACTTGGGCGTCCTTTCTCCCGATGTAGGACAGGTTTCCGTTCTCGTTATATCGTACCAAGTCGCCGGTCTTGTAGAGCACGCCACGTCGTCCCTGGTGGCCAGAGGCTCCCTCTAACAGCCATGCCGGGGGGTTTTTGATGAAGACCTCTGCGGACTTGATGGCATCTCCGAGGTACCCCGATCCAACGAGCGGCCCTTCCAGGAGCAGCTCACCAATGCACCCCGGTGGCAGAAGCTTGTGGTGGTCATCCGGGTCAACTACCCAGGTTACGCCGCCAGCCCCTGTCCCTATCTCGGCTGCCTCGTCCATATTGGAGGCCTGCGTATTGACCGTAGCGACGGTTGTGACCTCACTCGATCCGTACGCGGTGAGGACCTTTGCCTTTCCCCACCAAGGTTTCACGTCTTTGTGTCGCACCGCTTCACCCCCAAAGATGAGAGTCTTCAAGCCGGAGACCGAGTCGGGGGACAAGGACTCGGCGACGGAGGGAGTGAGAAGGATCGACGTCCCCTTGAGAGCCGTCAAGCTTGCCGCCAAGTTGCTTCTGCGGTCTTCGTCACTCGGGATGCACAGGCAACCCCCAGCCATGAGGGCCGCAAAGGCATTATTGAGTGAAGCACCAAAGCTGTACGATGCAAAGTCATAGATCCTCGAGGCAGCAGTGTATCCCAAGCATCTGACGTGCTCGGGAACAGCCGAGGTGACGTTGCTGTGGGTGATGACCACGCCCTTTGGAGTTCCCGTGCTGCCAGACGTAAACAGCACGTATGCTGTAGAGAACGGGGTAGCCTGGCCGATGGTCTCCTTGTGGCCCTTGGTGCCGTTCATGTCGGGCTCACTCGCGAGTTCGGCGAAAAACTTTGAACCAAGAGTGACGACTTCTGGTACCAGGCGCAAGCTGGCACTCTGATTCGATCTTGATGACACCAGCAGCTTGGCCTTGGTCTGTCGTATCATTTCCTGCAAACGCTGCTCGGGAAGCGACGGGTCGAGAAGCACAAAGCCACCGCCTGCCTTGAGAACACCGAGCATCGCGACATTTGTCCACATTGACTTTTCAAAGTACAGCGGAACAAGTACCTCGGGGCCAACCCCACGCTTGACAAGGTGAGTTGCTAGTTGTGCAGCAAGGTGATTGAGCTCCCTATAGGTTACTTGTCCATCCCAGGCACAGAGGGCTGGTGAATCGGGGCGCGAATGTGCCTGCGTCTCCAATACGTGGTGGATACACAGCTCAGATGTTGTCGGGACGGTGCGATTCCAGTTCCATAGCTGCTCGATATCTTTACCGGAGACAGTGTCGACTTCTGCCACAGCCTGATCAGGCTCTGCGTTATCAAGCTGATCCATGAGAAAGTCGAGTCGCTCCAGTAGTCTCTCGACCAGCCATGGCTTGATCACCCGGGAGTCATAGCTAGCTCTGGCTGCCATGGTCTCTCCAAGCTGAATCTCCAGAATCAAACTGTACGTGTTGAACGACTGCTGTTGGTTACTGAGGTGCCACTTTCCAAGCACCTCTTGTGTCTTGCTGCTGTCGTGTGGTTGAATCACGAGCAGCGTCTGGAAGTTGCAGGCCTGCCGTGCGCCAGGGCTGAGTTTGGCAATATGCTGCAGTCCCATCTGTTCGAACGGTATCATGTCGGTGGCAAGTTCTTGCACTGTCTTGAGATAGTCTGCAACCTTTTGCTCCCTGGATAGTCTTATTCGGACGGGGACAGTGGTAATGGTTGGGGCGGCGATGGCTTCCACGCCGGGCACCGCGGCGCCTCTTCCGGACAAGGTAGCACCAAACACAACATCGTCCGAGTTTGTCATGCGGGACGTGATGAGTGCCCACGCAGCTCGAATTATTGTTGACGCCGTGACACTTGAATCGTGCTGGGGGTGGTGCAGAGCATGCTCCATCACTCCATCCGTCACCGGCTGCTCCAGGGATGGAGGAAGCGCCGGGAAGGAAGGGCACTCACAGTCTGCGAGAGACTGGCGCCAGTAGTTGGCCATTTTCTCATCCCTCTGCTTCTCGACGTACTTTATAAAGGGCTGAAAGTGAGGCATGGTTATCGACTTGCCCTGATACACCCGCGTCACGGCGTCAATGATGAGAGTCAGGGACCATTCATCGAAAAGCGAGTGATGAATGGTCCACACAAACCATCTCGTGGCAGCGTTGTCGTCCTTGATGAGAGCATATCGCACCAGAGGCTGGCCAATTTCCATGGGCTTCTTCTTGTCTTCGGCGAGGTAGCTGTCCAGATCTGTTGCTTCCACCCATGAAACACTCTCATCGACAACTATCTGCAGAGTTCCGTGATGCCTAGATTGCAGGATTCTTGTTCGAAGAATCTGACCCGCGGTGGCGACCTGCTCCCATGCATTTCGGAAAGCATCAACGTCAATATCGGGTGCTAGTTCTAGGATCCCCTGCATGACATAGTCTCCTGGTGATTTCGAGGTCAACGATACAAGACCTTCTTGAAGGGATGTGCAGGGGAACGCGTCTTGTATCGATGCCCCGTCCAGTTCATAGTCCATCGCCATGTCTTGTATCAACGATGCGACATCAGTGTCCTTGCTAATGAGGGAGAATGGTGAAAGAGCTTCGAGAGATCCATTTGTCGTACGCCGGGCTTGTCCTGCGACATTCTCGACGCTACGGTGCTTGAAAATATCTACGACTGTCAGCTCAAGACCTACCTTGCGAGCCTCTGACACGACTTCCATGGCACCGAGCGAGTCGCCACCGAGCTCGAAGAAGCTATCATCCAGCCCAATCATGGACGCATCGATACCAAGAACCTGTGACCATATCCTGTGCACCTGCTTCTCAACCTCGGATAGTGGTTGTCGCTTTGCTCGCCCCTTGGTGTGCATCTCGACCATCTGCCGCGCAGAAAAGCGTCCGCCAATGTCGCGCAGCTGTTTGCGGTGTATCTTTCCCGACGCGGTCATGGGCAGCCTTTTCATCGAGAACAAGACCGTCGGTACCATGTAGATGGGAAGACGCTGAGCCATCTTGTCCTTGATCTCCGCCGGCACCGGCAACATCCTCGCGGTCACCTCGGACTCGGTGTCGTCCTCTTCCTCTTCCTCGGCTTCAAGGAATGCTGCAAGCGTCGCACTCGACTTGCTCCCCCGTGGGATAATAATCTCAGCGACGACACTCCTGGTTTCGACGCAATCCCGGAGCGCGTGCTCAACCTCGCCGAGTTCCACGCGGTTGCCACGGATCTTGACCTGGTTATCATTTCTCCCGATAAACTTGAGGTTTCCATCGGCTAGGTATTGTACAAGATCCCCCGTCTTATAGAGGCGTCCGCTACGTCCTTTGCTGCCAGATGCACCTTTTATCAGCCACGCAGGGTCCTTGATAAACGCGGCAGCATTCTTTTTCGCGTCACCAAGATAGCCACGGCCGATGAGGGGTCCTTCGAGGAGCAGCTCGCCAATAGAGCCAGGTGGGAGGAGAACATTGTGATTGTTGGGGTCCACGATCCATGTTACCATTCCCGCGCCCTTGCCGATGCTGCAGGCTTCCTCGGGGGTCGAGGGACTGGTTCGTAGGGTGCTTGCTGTGGTGCACTCGGATGGCCCATATGCGTTGACGACTCGCACCTTGTCCCACCAGATGCCGACATCCTTTGGATGCAGAGCCTCGCCGATAAAGGCTATGGTCTGGAGAGTAGGCGTCTTCTGCGGGGATAATTGCCGAGCTACAGTCGGTGTTAGGTATATAAAGTCGGCGTTGTACGATGTTATGCTCTCTGCTAATTTATCTTGCCGTTCGTAGTCGCTGGGGACACACAAGCATCCTCCGAGCGTTAGGGCAGAAAACGCGTTGAATATTGATATATCAAAGCTGTACGAGGAGAAGTCGTAGATTCTCGACTGGTCCGTCAGGCCCAACCGCTCTGCCTGGTAATAGAGGGCTGTGGCGTGATTTTGATGGGTAATGGCTGCGCCTTTGGGCGTCCCGGTGCTGCCCGAGGTGTAGACGACGTACATGACGGATGATGGGCTGGGAGGGTGTGACTGTGTACAAGGCCGAGGCTCAACCTCTGAGAAGAAGCCGGAGCTGATGGCGACTACCTCGGACGCCATTCTTGAGCTCATTTCATACGTCGAGACGGATGACACCATGATTTTTGCCTGAATTTGGTCGACAATAATCTGAAGACGCTGCTCGGGCAGGGCTGGGTCTAGTAAGACAAAACCAGCACCGGCCTTCAGCACGGCAACCATGGCAACGACTGTATACATTGATTTCTCAAAGCACAATGGCACCAGATCATCGGGGCCAACGCCCAAATCCAAGAGCCGTCCGGCCAGGGTCCCGGACAGGCGGTCCAGCTCACCGTAGGTCAAGACACCGTCCCAGGCGTGTACGGCGAGCTTGTTGGGATGAGCTCGTGATCGTTGCTCGAATATATGGTGAGGGCAACGTTCAACTGCTTCCGGGACCGTCGCATTCCATTTCCAAATTTCTTCTTCATCATGCTTGCCGGCCATGTGGATGTCCTGAACCCTCATCTTGGGGCCTCCACGGCAGAGCTCCGTCATGACAAGCTCGAACCGTTCAAGCAATCTCTCCACCGTCTTGTGGTCCATGACGCGCGAGTCGAACCTTGCCAATGCGGAGAATTGGTCCTCTTCCGGTCGAATCTCCAGTACGAGAGCATATCTCTGGTCGTCCAGGCGCTCGCCGTTGCTCTCGTGTGAATGAACGGCCAGCAGCGACTGGAACTGGCAGGCCTGCTGAGCACCGGGGCAAGTCTGCATGATGCTTGATAACCCCGTCTGCTCAAACGGAGTCATGTCCTCTTCCTGCTGCTGGACCATGCCCAAATAAGCTGCGATCGTGAGGTCCATGGCCGTCTCGATACGCACAGGCACTATCGTCATGTTTGAGTCCCGAGTGGTTCCAAAGACGACGGCGCCGAAGACGACGTCATCCGAATTCGTGATGCGTGCAACAACCAGGGCCCATGCCGCGCGAGCAACATTGGACATGGACGTGGCTGCGCCGTTTTGCTGAAGCTTCGCAAACCGATGCTCTACCAGTGCATCGGGCAAACATTGCTCAACTGTCTCCGGGATCGCTGGGAATGTCGCGCATTTGCAGTCGGCAAGAGCATTTTGCCAGTAGTCTGCCTCTCTGCGCTGGTGGCCCTGTGCAGGCATATGCTTGCCGGGCAAGATTCTAGAAGGCATTTTCGAATAAAGGTGTAGTTGATTCTAACAAAAGGTTTCAACGAATTCCAGAGCCAAGTTTCTAAGTCTCAGCTACATATGTATGGTAATATCTCTTCCGGGTTTCCGCTCAGGGGGAGTGGTGGCACCTGACGGCCATATACATAAGAGACACTCGGATGATCATGGTACTACAAGGCGGACGGAGGAGATTAGGTCAATACAATCAAGGATGCAAGCCAAGTTGTTCCGCAGCGCCTATGCTATGGGCCATGGATGGATAGAATGGGCCGACCAAATGTAACGCGTGTAAGAACGGGTACGGACTTCGCGAAATGGGGCAAGTATTTGCCCCATGCGACACGTTCTTCAGCCATGTGTGCCCATTGCCCAGGTCAACTTGAAGCCATTTGCATTATCGGGGATCGGAGGATGGGTGGTTCATCCGGTTTTTGGTCCATTTTTGCATCGCGCCTAGCATGTATTTCATTTTGTATCAAATCAATGAAATAATCAAAGTCATACTACTGATTAAAATAAAACAATAAATACTAGTCACTTGTAATAACCGTCAAAAACTTACACCTCGAGAAAAAAGGCTGGAACTGTCTTGCCAAGGCTTACCCCCTCCTCCATCCTTCAAGTTCTCCCCATATAGTCGGTACACGAATGGGAGAACGCTATTCAACGTGCAATTCTCACACCAGGGGTGTAGGAATGCACGCATGGACTGCGACGCCTGGTATTGCGTGACCTTTTAGGAGATACCATGCGCAAGGCGTAGTAACTCCAGGGATATATAGGGAACCTTAAATGAAATTCGCCATCCATACCAAAATTAGTCTCTAGACATCGGAAAAGAAATTCCGGAAGACATGGAAGACAAGGATCAAAGATTGTAAATGGCAGTTCTTCATTCAGAGACTGATTAGCTACAGGCTTGATATTTTAGTACCAAGTTTCGATTAGCCACCATGAATGAACGAGCCATGGATTCTTACAACTATGAGAAGCAGATGGTCATGGAACCGTAGTTTTAATCTTATGCAAACTATTGAAAGATGCATGTTGAATGTCCTTTCGTTACATCTAAAGTCTTCCCCCAGCAACATTTCCTTTTACAAAGTATTGTCTACTTCTATATTGCTCTTGTCCGCGCCATGTCATGCGAGACTTGCTATCTGACATATGGAGATTGTGACATTGTTGTCCTGTAGCATGTTGCCGCTATACTGAGTCGCAGGCACAATGACAAGACAACGAGGTTAGACTTGGAACTGACGTTCCTTGAACTCAACCACCAGTTTTGGCTTTTCCCATAGTTGGAAGGTGCGCTGCTTGAATCCCCAATCTTCATAACCAGGCTTTAGCTTGAGATCAAAATGCCAAAGCAGTTTTGCAAGGATTAGCCTCATCTCATGATAGGCCAGGTTTCGTCCGATGCAATTTCGAGGGCCGTAGCTGAATGGACGGACAGCGTCAAGTCTATCATCCTTGAAGGGAGATTTTGGATCATTCCGTGTTTCAGCAAGCCAGCGCTCTGGCCTAAAGGCCTTTGCATCGAAAAAGTTTCTCTCAGATCGATAGGTTGCGAGGTGGTGCACGCCAACGATAGTCTAGACCAGCATTAGCAAGACTAGAGTGCTCAACTGAATACGGCCGCGGGCTGGGAAACTGTTGTGATTTGGATACATGTCAAAAATTTGTACACTTACGTTCTCGGGTATCAACTCTCCTGCAATAAGGGTTGGTCGGCCAGGAAGCGTTCGGCGGATAAGGGACGTGGGCACAGGGGGATACATGCGCAAGGTCTCCTCAATGCATGCCAACATGAAGGGCAGTTCCGCTGTTGCCTTGAAAGTGATTTCATCATCTGACTTGAAGGCTTCGCGTACTTCCTTGGCGCACCGAGCCATGGCATCGGGATTGCTGCATAGAAAAAAGGTGATGCCCGTAAGAGCCGTCGAGGTGGTTTCCGAACCCGCACTGATGACAATGTCCGAGTTTGAGGCCAATTCGTGGTCCGTTACTCCTTGATCCTCGCCACGATTCCGTAGCATAAATGTCATGAAATCATGGCGTGGATGAGTGTCTCTATTGGCAATGCGCTTCATTGTCAACTCATAGGAACGTTTCTGGTGGTCACTCAGCGAGCGCTGCTGTTCCGGCGAAAGAAGCCACCAGACTAGCAGCCAAGAAATGTAAGGGAAAACCAGTAGAGGAACCAGAACCTTCATGCTGCTCATGCTTTTAAGCCAGAGATGTTGCTTTCCAGTTGCCAGCGAGTTGAAGGATTCGCCGTAGCAAAGGTCGCCGAATATGTCAAAGGTCGTCATGGTGTACCACTGGGATACATTGACGTATGGATCCGACGACTTTGCAAACTTGTGGAGATGCTCGATGAGCATGTCAACGTATCCCTTGATGAGCGCTTCTTCGTGAGTAATTGCTTCTGGCGTTAAAGCTGGCGTCATTGCCTTGCGAAACCGATGATGATCCCGAGAGTGCGCAGTGATGATGTTGGGTCGCTCCTCCATGCCACTTCCTTTGTAGATGTGCTTCGGAAGCTCCGCGTGGCCCGTACCATAGATGTCTCGCCAGGCCGACATTTCTGTGAAGCTGAGGGTGTCGGGACCGACACGGATAATGTGCCCAAGTTTCTGGTGCAATTTTACGATTTGGTGATCTTGTTGCCCGCGAATGTGAGAGATGCTCTTCATCCAGGGCGCTGCAATCCATGTCACGGGACCTGGGAAGCGGCGTAAGGGATGAAGAAATACATTGTAGAAGGCAGTATATAGTATTGTCGCGACTTTTAGGCCTAGCAGGACTATTACGGACGCAAGGATGGCCTGCCACGGCGTGAGAGAGATATCTTCATGGTAACCGAGAGATTTGCCAGGTATGCGGAGCATATTCAGGAGAGGTAGGAAAGGACCAGATGGCAAGCTCGTTGCTGTATATGTGATGCCAGAGACACGCCGAACGGGTTTGACAGCTCACAGAGACTGGATTATTCGTACATGTAAGCCAGTTTAAAAGTGTCTTTGATAGGGTGTAATGGACGACTGACGAAGAAGGAAGCAAAGACGTTTGTCGAAATATTGGGAGAATGAAGGCGAGTTCCCCATGGCGACGACTGGCAATGCACTGACCTATTTCTTTAAGACAATTGGCCATGGTGTTGCATCGCTGACGCATCAAGCGGCAGGAATGCGCATAAATCAAGACGTCTGTGCTAAACGGCACTTTGGTCAAGCTAGTCAGACATTCCATCATAACCTACCGTGCCGAGACAAGGACTAGACTTGGTACCCAATCCCCGCTGAAGCAAAAGGCCTTGTTTTCACAGTGTGAATCTTTCCATCCCCCTCCCGAGCCGTGCCGGCATCTATATACAGCCGTGTGTGTGCAACTCACGGCAACCGTCGTGACAAGTCACGACACCCACCACGAATCAACGACGGTTGAAGCACAACACCACCGGCAATAGGTGCGCCACATCGTGTCAATCTGCGGCACGGTTTAGCCCGGCAATATATAATACGTGGCTCTACCTTGACCCTTTCACTCAACCCTGCCGAGATGGCGCGGGGGGGCCGGAGCGGACATGAGGGTCGCCAAGAATGTAGTTTTCATCCGATGAATCCACATGTCGAGTTGAGTTCAAAGCATCAATGGGATGTGTTGCCAGGTTCATTGCGTAGCGCCCGCATCTCGCACCGCCTGCACTGTGGATATCTACGATTCAGGAGAGACATGAACCGTGCTGATGGCCAAGCTACCAGGCTCTACCAGACGGCATTTGGCAGATGAAAATCAGCCAAACTAATCCGTTAACGGAAAGAGACCAACCGGCGTGCATTACCCCGCTGGGCGTGGGGGGCTCAAGGGTACATGTACATGTACATGTACATGTCTGGTCAATAGATTTGTTACTCCATGCAGCAACCCACCAACCCTGCAGTCCAGTGAATGATGTTGATTACCAACAAGCTTGACCTAGTTATAATTAGACGTTGGTAACATAGAGAGGGCAGAATACTGCATAACCCATCACACTGAGCTTACACTTGTCCTTGCTGAACTCGAGGGGTAAATATTCTCATCCTCACCCCCTCCTGGCCTTGTCCGTCACCTGAGATATGTACACCTCATTCAAAGTACCATACTTGCGCTTCATCGTAAATGTAGTTCGGGAATTCCAGCCCTTTGACCTGACCCACTGGGAATCATTTGTTCCGTTCAGACAATTCTCATGTCCACGCGTCGTTTCGGTTCGCTCTGGATCTGAAGGAAATGTCTCCAATTAGGTAGCAAATAACCCTGGCCGTTGAGTTCCGGCAAGTTGTAATTTTCTTAAGTACGTCATGTAATAATGGGACAAAGAGAGCATCATCCCACTTTCCTCGCCATGTTCCGTGCTGGCATCGGCGTAAGCGTATACAGATCCGACGTATGCCAGTCGGGTTCAAACAGCCAACTCCCAGTCAATCAGATGTACTTAGCTCATCCAGCTCCAATCCATCCGAGTTCGAATCGTCTATATCTCCATGAAACTGTGAGGCGGTACTAGCTGGGTTGTAAGCTGGTTGATGACGCACTCTATCTTGAAGTTCTGGTAACCATGGCCAAAGTATCTCTTGAAAAACTGCTTCGAATTCCACCATCTCTAACACAATCTATATCACAAACCAAGGTGGACTATCTGAACCTTGGTCATTCGGGCTTGAGAGTGTCGCGGCCCATACTTGGTGGGCTTCACCTTGGGAGCCGCAAGTGGTTACCCTGGGTTCTTGACGAGGAAAAGGTCCGCATCTCTTTCTAATAGCCTCTTAACTCAACTTAACTCAACTAACCTACATGTTGATAGGCTTTACCTATCCTTAAAGCAGCATATGACCTGGGAGTCAATACTGTACGTGTCCCCCTCCTCCCTTAGCAGAGGGGACTCGATGGCCAGTCAGACAGCTACCACTAACAACGTCAAGTGGGATACTGCAAATGTATATTCCAATGGAGAGTCCGAGAGAATCATCGCCAAGGCGCTCTCCAAATATAAAATCCCTCGGAACAAGGTGGTGTTGATGACCAAGTGCTACCGGGTCATGTCTGATCCTGAAAGGTTTGATCCAGGTTCAGGAGTAACAATGCACCACGAGTTGGCAGATTATAGCAAGGACTATGTAAATCAATGGGGTAACTTTCTATACTACATACTCCAAAACAAGGTGAATAGAAGCTAAATCAAATATTCCTAGGTCTATCGCGGCGAGCCCTCTTCAGCGCCGTCGAGGCTTCACTCGATCGCCTCAACACCAGCTACATTGATGTCCTCCAGATCCATCGGTTCGATCATACAGTACCCCCAGAAGAGACAATGTCTGCACTAAACGACTTGATAAGGGCGGGCATGGTCCGCTATATTGGCGCGAGCTCCATGTGGACGTTCCAGTTCGCCACCTTGCAGCACATAGCCGAGACAAAGGGTCTAACTAAATTCATCTCGATGCAGAATCACTACAACCTCATCTATCGTGAAGAGGAAAGAGAGATGAACCAGTATTGCAAGATGACAGGTGTTGGCCTCATTCCGGTTTGTCCTTGGCACCCTACAATACAGGCTGGACATGTGCAATGCTGACTCTTATATCGTCTCGTAGTGGGGGCCGTTGGCATCTGGTAGACTAGCTCGAAGGCCAACACAAGAGGAAGGGTCTTTGCGAGCAAGTTGCAGTGCTCATGGCTCATTATACGAGAGCGACGACTACAACGTAGACAGGATCATACAGCGAGTAGCGGAGATTGCTGAGAAACGAGGCTGGCCGATGAGTCATGTCAGCCTGGCTTGGTTAAATCGACGGGTAACAGCCCCCATCATAGGCTTCGGTTCCGTCGGACGAATTGAAGAAGCGCTGGCGGCAAGGGGTAAGGAACTGTCGAGAGATGAGGAGCAGTATCTAGAAGAATTGTACGTCCCTCAAAGAATACAGGGACACTCGTGATAGTTTAGATGATACTTTGAAGAAAGTAGAGTTAATTACAAGGCACTACTTTACACTACACGCAAGAACTCAACTACGCTAAATCGGGGACAACAGTCTTTGTAATTTGCATCGCTTGCCTAAAAAGCACGGCCCTTACTAATGTAATCGGAAAATTGTGACACCTTGAAGAACGGGAGGGGGTAGGGAGATGACAAACTCCGCTATAACCTAATGATTGGAAAATGGAATAAAACGGACTTGGCCGTTGCCTTCGAACGAGCCATCAAACCTCGAAGGATTCGCATGTGCTGTTGTGGGGATATTCTGTGTTGACATGGGCAGTGCAAGGGGGTGTAAGTGCAGTTACCGGGAAAACCAGTACAAGGCGAGAGAAGCGTTACTTCACGGGTTGTACTAAAGTTGCGGCATTTTTCTTTGCAATAATGAGTCTCACATTTGCCTTGAAGAAATTCCCGTAAAGCCTACTCTCCACGTTGAGACCAGAGTTTGTCAGTATAAATAACCCTCTGGGAAAACCTAATCAGCAGCGATGCATCGTCCCAACTCCAGAGCATCCATGAGAATTATGCCTTTGACCGTTCCATGAGGGACACCAAGAAAATGTTGAACCGAGCAGATGAACTTGACGATCTCTATGAGGCGGTCAGAGCACTCATCATTCCGCATGTTCGTGCAGCCGACGAAGCTTGCTCTTTAAAGAGTGCTGGCCAGCTTCACACCGACGACACTCAACGCCTACAGAACGTTCTGGTTGAGCCATATCCGCCCAAAGCCCTGCAAGAACGCTTTCAATTCACTCTACCCGATAATGAGGGAAACGGCAAAGACGGTCTCATGCACCTTATTCGGGACGTTTTACGCTACAGCGTAAATACCTGGGACCAAGGTTTCATGGACAAGCTCACCTCGAGCACGAATCCCGTGGGCGTCATCTCTGAGATTGTCCTTGGGATTCTCAACACCAATGTTCACGTCTATCACGTGGCACCAGCCCTGTCCGTGATTGAGAAAGTCACGGGGCGTACGCTCGCGGCCTACTTTGGATTCAACAGTCCATCTGCCGGGGGGATTTCTTGCCAAGGAGGCAGTGCGTCAAACCTGACATCCCTCGTTGTCGCTCGCAACTCATTATATCCTGATTGCAAACTCAACGGCGGAAGCTCGTACCAATTTGCCATCTTTACCAGCTGCCATGGACATTTCTCCATGGAGAAAGCGGCTATTACATGCGGCATGGGTTTATCAAGCGTCGTTCATGTGCCTGTCAATGACGACGGGCGCATGAATGTAAGTGCCCTGCGTGAGCTAGTTATTCAAGCCAAAGCGCAGGGCAAAACACCACTCTATGTTAATGCGACCGCTGGGACCACCGTACTCGGTGTCTTTGATCCCCTTCACGAAATCAAGACGATATGTGAAGAGTTTGGAATGTGGTTTCATGTCGATGCCTCCTGGGGGGGCTCGATTATCTTTTCAGCCAAACACAGACATAAGCTGACAGGCTGTGAGCTTGCCGACTCACTCACTATTAGTCCCCATAAGATGCTTAATGTCCCAATGACATGCTCTTTCTTACTTACTAATAACTTGAGTTCCTTTTATACTGCAAATTCACTCGACGCCGGGTATTTATTCCACGATACAGAGGACGACGAAGTATGGGACCTGGCAAACTTGACACTACAATGTGGCCGTAGGGCAGACAGCCTAAAAATGGCGTTGGCCTGGACATACTACGGTGCGGCCGGCTTTGAAAGACGTATTAACCATGCGTTTAAAATGGCTGCTCATCTGAGTAGCATTATCCAAAAATCACCGGATTTTGAGCTTGTATCGCCCAATCCCCCGCCTTGCCTGCAGGTCTGCTTCTACTACACACCAGGAGGGAAAATGGCGAAGAGCGAAATGGAAACGTCTAGAAGAACGAGAGCCATGGTGGAGAAAATGGTTGATCGAGGGTTCATGTTTGATTTTGCTCCTGGACCGAAAGGTGACTTTTTTAGAGTTGTTGTGAATTGCGAGACGTTACTCGGAACGGTTGAGGGACTTTTCAAGGGATTGGAAGCGGTGGGCAAGCAGGTGGTGTGATAATGGAATATGTTGCCGCCTGCAGAGCCTCGCAAGCTTTGCACGTTGTTCTGCGAATTGACTAATTATGGATTAATGGATCGGTGTGCAAGTTCTAGATTGAAGCTACACGAGAGCCCAATTGCTACTTATAGACTATACTGATGCTGGTTGGCTATTCTATTGAAGTGAGTGTCAAGTATCACCCGGTCGTATCTATTGACGACTTGTAGTTTTTCAAAAATGACTAAATATCTATCACCTTACGCAACAAAATCCCCAGGTTTCTCGCTCGCCGATGGTTTCGCCATGAACTAACACTGGAGAAACGTCGACGGACACAAACATCTGCGCATCTGACACATATATAAATATGTAAAACAGACGACACATTCAGAGTCGCAACTTCAACAAAAACCTACATCAAATTGAATCACCTCGCCGGTTTGTAGATCTGGTGCATCTCGTGCGCCGATCGAAATCTCAAGTTCTATTCATGGTTTTGGGCTATGTCCTTTTGCAACTTCGCCTCTGCATCCACATCCTTTCTTGCCCTTTGATAAAATTTATCAAGAATAGCAGCAGGTACTCTATTGAGCTGCTCTTTTGGGAAAATGCGTAGCAAAGTCCACGCGAGATCTAGTGACTCAAAAATTGTGCGCGACTCAAATGGCCCTTAACTAAGGAATTGCCTCTCGAATTTATCAAGAAACTCAAGCGCTAGTTTATCTTCTGCAGAGAGAGCCTCTTCCCCAACTACAGCTCTCATTCCGGCCACATCTTTACCTGTAGCGTACTTCGCGTATAATTGGTTTGAGACATCAGCGTGATCCTTTCTTGTCATGCCGTCTCCAATAGCAGACTTCATTAAACGAGAGAGGGATGGTAAAACATTGATTGGCGGATAAATGCCTCGATTGTGAAGGGATTGGTCAATAAATATCTGGCCTTCTGTGATGTAACCAGTTAAATCGGGGATGGGGTGAGTGATGTCGTTATTCGGCATGGTAAGAATTGGTAATTGCGTGATGGAGCCTTTTCGCCCAGTAACACGACCAGCGCGCTCATAGAGGCTTGCCAAATCAGTATACATGGACCCGGGGAACCCACGGCGACCGGGCACTTCCTCTCTTGCCGCTGAGATCTCGCGGAGGGCCTCGCAGTAGGCGGTCATGTCGGTAAGAATTACGAGAACATGCTTTTCAAGCTGGTAAGCAAAGAACTCGGCGGTTGTAAGAGCCAGTCGGGGGGTGATGATGCGCTCGATTCTAATATACCCTATTAGTGCCTAGTCTTGTAAGCGTCGGAACGAGAATTTACGTGGGATCATTTGCTAGGTTCAGAAAGAGGGTGACACGCTCCATGCTTCCATTTTCCTCAAAATCCCTAGTAAAGAACCTAGCTGTTTCTCGGTTTACCCCCATGGCACCGAACACAATCGAGAAGTTGTCTTCATGGCCATCGTGGACGCCTTTATTAGTGACGCCATGATGTTTAACTAAACTCGCCTGTCGGCATATCTGGGCAGCAATCTCATTATGCGGTAGCCCAGAGGCCGAGAAAATGGGAATCTTTTGACCACGGGCAATCGAGTTCATGGTATCAATAGCGGAAATACCAGTTGATATCATTTCTTCGGGATATTCCTAATGGCCTGTCAGAAAGATGCGTTTCAACTTGGCATCCGCAGCCACATACCCGAGAATAGGGATTGATAGCACTCCCATTAATATCGATATAATCTTCGGGGAGCACCTTTGGCCCTTTGTCGATTACTTTGCCAGACCCATCGAATACACGTCCCAGCATGTCCTCTGCTACACCAAGTTTCATGCTTTGACCCGAGAACCTAACCTTGGTCTGCATTGGTACAAAATTAGCATGGCGCAGACCTGGCTCGAGGCATTTCTTGGTACCTTGCTGACGTCTATTCCAGACGTGCCCTCGAAAACCTATCATGTTTTGTGAATCATGTGTTGCGAATCAACCAACGTTGGTAGAGTGGGTAGATTTACTTGAACGACGGCTCGGTCGCCTGATAATTGCTGTCACATACTTTGCTTCAGACGTCAAACTTGGATGGGGCGTGGACTAACCTCGTCCTTCCAACACCTTGCCCGACCTCTCAGATCCATCTCCAAGGGTCAAGGTGACGATTTCATCATATATTGGAAACTTGACCTGGACGAGTTTAATGAAGGCGTCGAAAGAGGCCCGTGATACTTACATTTTCTACTATGACGAGGGGACCACTAACGCCATTGACGGTATTATACTGCACCCTCGGTCGCACCGAATAGGAGGGCTCTCGCGCATCTGCCATGGAAAGTTCTGGATGGAATCAAGGGGTTGGAACAGAGGTCCAATGTGTATGGACGGACGTGGTGCAATAAATGGCGAAGTAGTGGTCCAAGTATAGCTGATGCGGTGCAACCGAGTCATATGAGATGATGGCTGGCATTCTGGGATGGCGAGCAGTATAACGCCCGCAGTCATTCGCGCAGAGGGGGAGAATATCTGTGCGATATGAAGAGAGGCAACCTTTTGCCGACTCAATTTCACCGCCGCCAAGCAAGTGCCGATGTGTAGTCCTGGGTTTCCGACACTTGGATACCGATGTATTATGATGCGAACAATCAAGGGGCAATGTGATTGTCGCTAGCACATGGCAGCCTGTGCATGTACCGCCGACGTATGTATGGTGCGACTTGATGCCATGTACATATCAATTGCATGAGCCCAAGTCTCAATGACGGCCGGAACGTGACCAGGACGGAGCTCCTTAGCATCATTGATGAGAGCGGGCACGGGTTCTTGTGGACCGGCGGCATTGATTCGGGTGGATTGACCGTTGACGGCATGGCACCAGAGCGGATGGCGATTGGCGCGGACTTTCAATGTTCAACAAATGATGTCGTCAACCAGAGCCGTTGTGTTGCCTGCTCAATGCTACCTTCCCAGGCAGGGGTTTTGGCTGATGGAAATCAGCCAAACAGGCATGGGAACATTGAATGGAAATCCCCGCCGCTGTCCCCGGGCCCGGTTTAGCAATGCGACATAGCAATAGAGCTTCATGGGGCCCCAGCCCGCAAAATAATAACCTCGAGCCGTTACACAACTATCTGCATAATGAACGTGCACCGGTTGACGTCAATTGTGACCAATGAGTCTGGTACTCGGTAAAGCCGCGCAAACACTGTCTGGCAGCACTAGCTTTATAGTACCAACCAAGGGTAATCAGAAGCCGCCCTACCCGGAAGACATGCATGAAGAAGAATACACCGTGTCGCTTGAGACTACCCAACGCATGTACACACCCATCAATTTTACACCGACGCCTTTCGTGACATCCACACCCATGGCCCTAATCTCACAGTATTCAAATCCCGGACAGTGTAGAATTGGCTGCGATCGTACTGTAAATGGCTGTACAAGACGAGGTCATGTACAATTTAGGCCTTGACTGTGTCGGGTAGCCAAGAGTAATATAACAAAAAGGAGTGAGACTAATAAGAGATAGCTATTATAAAAAGCGTGTAAAGACTAAAAGGTACTTGATAACGTGATAAAATTTCGTATTAATTTACGTTATAGTTATAAAATTATTCCTCTTCTATTTACTTTACTTGAATTATAATTTGTAATTATTACTATAAAACCTCGTATCCGTATCAAAGACCTTATAAATAGCCCCTATAAATGATCTTATTAGGTTACTTTGAGCTAAACTCATAAAGGGCGGATTGTACAAGTTATACACAAACGCATATGAATTCCGATGGAAGCAAATACGTACCTAGGTAAACAGTGTGAAGAAGGCGTTGTCTTATCCCTGATCGCCATGGTAGGGTAGCACTGCTAGCACGTATTTGTCTTTTGCCACGTCAATTGAAACCATCCCACGGCAATTTTGAGAGTAGCAAACTCGCGGCAAAGCCTTCAATAGCCGACATGCTGGGGCTCGGCCGCTCGGATAGCCATCAATATTTCCACCCCCTCCTTTGCTGTGCTGGTCTAGGGCTATTAGAAGACCAGGGGCAAGTACCGTTGACAGTATACAGCCTAGATTGTTATAGCCTCAGGGTACGTTTCCACCGAACGCATCATGATAACATGTCTATTTTAGACATCCATATTGGTGATGGACAACCAAGGCCAAAATTGACCCACCAATCGTCAATGTTGCGGCCAATGACCTTGTGCACGGCAACTTCACCTACCTACTCGTGATCCCATAGAGGTGCCGGGCATTCATCCTCCTGGAGAAAGAAGAGAAGAAAGAAGCTGCCACTCATTATATCTTTGCTGCTGCTGCATTTCAGTCCCAAGATGAGGGCTATACATAAGTTTCTATCCGGGTCGCGTTCAAGCAGAAGTTATTCTGGAGGCAGTAACCGATCCCCAAACCAGGCCAATGAAGCAGCACAGCAGCCGTCAACTGTCGAAAATGGCCAGTTTCCTATGGAACAAGACTCGAAAGAGACGAGCAGCAGTTGCAATCCATATGGACATCTCCCACCACATCATGCCGAAATGCTCGAGCGACAAGTACAAGTGCCAACTTATCGAGGGAGCATTTTCCAGTTATATCGCTATGCCTCTCACCATGACATTATCATCATGATTGTTGCAGCCGTCTGTGCCATGGCCTCTGGGGCCGCCTTGCCAATCATGACAATTATTTTTGGCGGTTTGCAAGGCACTTTCCAAGACTTCTTTAACAATACCGTTCAGCCTAGTCAGTTTCGAGACGAGATGACAACCTATGTCTTGTATTTTGTGTATCTAGGCATTGGGCAATTTTCCGTCACTTTTCTGTCCACTGTTGGTTTCACCTACCTCGGAGAGCATCTGACGGGAAAATTCAGAGAGCGCTACTTGCAAAGTTGTATACGCCAAAACATTGCCTTTTTCGATAATACGGGTGCTGGTGAAATCACAACACACATTACCGCCGATATGAATCTAATTCAGGACGGTATTTCCCAGAAAGTAGGGCTGACTTTGGCTGCCATTGCCACGTTTGTTTCTGCGTTTGTGATTGGGTTTGCCAATAGCTGGAAGCTCACTCTTATGCTGTGTTGTACCGTTGTTGCTTGGATCATTACCACTACCCTAACCACGAGGTTGATGGTCAAGAATACCATCAAGTCTCTTGCTGCGTATTCTGAAGGGGGTAACCTCGTGGAAGAGGTTTTGACCTTTATACACAGCACCACTGCCTTTGGAAACCAGGACCACTTGGCCAAAAAGTATGATGCACACCTCGCAAAGGCAGAGCATTACGGCTTTCGTGCCAGGACAGCCACCGGACTAATGATTGCCGGACTGCAAATCGTCATGATCCTTGGGTATGCTCTCGCGTTTTGGCAGGGTAGCAAACAGCTTATCCAAGGAGAGCTGCCAGTGTCAAAACTTCTGACCGTCCTCTTGTCCGTCCTAATCGGGGCGTTTGCCTTGGGCAATGCTGCCCCAAACGTACAAGCATTTACTACTGCAGCGGCTGCTTCGAGAAAAGTCCTTGCCACCACAGATCGTGTCTCCCCCATTGATCCTATGGCAAGCTCCGGGATTATTTTGGATCAGGTTTCTGGCCACCTAAGCTTCCAACATATCCATCACATTTATCCCTCAAGACCAGGTGCACCCGTCATCGCCGACTTGAGTTTGGATATTCCAGCCAAGAAGACCACTGCCATAGTTGGAGCTTCAGGATCCGGAAAAAGCACAATTATAGGCCTGCTTGAACGGTTCTACGATCCTGTCGAGGGAACGATACGTCTGGACGGTCATGATATACAGAGCCTAAACTTGAAATGGTTCCGAGCACAGATGGCCTTGGTCAGCCAACAGCCTGGACTCTTTGGGACCACCATCTTTCAAAATATTCGACATGGTTTAATTGGCACAGCATTCGAACACGAAAGTCAGGATTCTCAGAGACAGCGCGTTATTCGTGCAGCAAAGGCGGCTTTTGCACATGATTTTATTATCGCTCTTGACAAGGGTTATGATACGCATATCGGCCAGCGTGGTTCCATTCTCTCTGGAGGCCAGAAACAACGAATTGCGATTGCACGAGCGATAATATCGGACCCCAAAAGTAAGTTCAATTCAAATACACCCCAAAACATGTGGACTAACTCGACCATAGTTCTACTCCTTGATGAGGCTACTTCTGCTCTGGATAGTGTGTCTGAGCAAGCCGTCAAGGCTGCGTTGCAAGTTGCCGCAACAGGACGTACTACTATCATTATAGCCCATCGCTTGTCGACCATAAAACACGCGGATAATATTGTGGTCATGGCTGAAGGTCGCATTGTGGAGCAGGGGACTCATGAGGAACTTCTGAATAATAATGCGGCCTATTTGGAGCTAGTTCAAGCTCAAAATGTTGGATCAAGTGTTGACGAAACACAAGATTCCAGCGTATCCTCGCCAGGATTTGAAAAACAGACTTCGTATAAGCAGGAAACTACTGCAGGATCTCATGACGAGATCAAATCCTCCAGGTTGAGCAGAGATGACCTCGGCGGACAGACAAATCGCGACAGTTTATATGCGCTAATATCTTTTATTCTGTCTATAAACAAATCGCAATGGAGTTTAATGGTAATCGGGTGCATGCTCTCTGTCATTTGTGGGCTTGGAAACCCTTCTTCAGCTGTCTTCTTCTCAAAGCAGATATCAACCCTATCCCAACCTATTCCACCAAATGAGCCTGGCAAGATAGAAAAAGATTCTGATTTCTGGAGCACCATGTACGTCATGCTAGCTTTTGTTCTTGGCATCTCGTTTGCGGCCCAAAACTTGGCATTTGCAAAGAGCTCTGAGCGGCTCGTACGTCGCATTCGACATGCTGCCTTTCGAGCCATGTTGAGGCAAGACATGTCCTTCTTTGACAACAAGCAGAACACAACCGGCTACTTGACTTCCTTCCTGGCAACAGAAGCAGCCCATATTGCCGGATTAAGCGGCACCACTCTGGGAACTTTGATTGTTTCCGTCACAACACTCATCGCAGCCTGCTCGCTATCCATCGCCGTTGGATGGAAACTCTCCCTGGTTTGCATCGCGACTCTCCCGATTCTTGTGGGCTGTGGCTTTCTGCACGTATGGCTGGTAGCTAAATTTCAGCGGCGTGCTAGAGCTTCATATGACGAATCTGCCAGCTATGCCGCTGAGGCTGTCTCGGACATGCGCACTATTGCTTCGCTGGGACGAGAAATGGACGTGCTAGAGGAGTATCGCACGCTGGTGCGGACGCAGCTTCGCCAGAATATCCTCTTTATTCTCAAACCTTCTGCGCTTTATGCTGCTTCT